TTGATCACAAGGCCAATGATGACGTTATCCTCTTGATCCTATCGATCATTGAGAGTAGAATTAGTCTTTGCAAAATCACTATATGAAGATTTAGTAGACGACTTGTCTAGGATCAAGTGGAAAAGTAAACCTTTACCTCGTAAAAAAAACTTCCACACAACGATCCCATTAAGTGTAATTTCTTTCTTTCAAATTTTCAGGAGTCATGGATCCAGTCAAATTGAACATATCCATATTGGATGATGTGATATTATCCACGACAAGACTAATCAAAGTAAATCGTAAATCCAATAACAGGTAATCACAAATAGGCGCGCAGTCTGGGTGACCAACCAAATAATAATAAATGAGACACGGAAGGAATCCCAAACCACGTGACTTGCCTACAAATTAATAGTTGGAGCCCAAAGAAATAAAATCACAAGTAAGCCCAACAAAATTACTAGAGCCCAAGAGTATCTTGGTAACCACAGCCCAATTAATCAGCTTCAATCAATCAGTCCTTAATTAACCAAGTCCAAAATCAAGACGACACCACAAAAGTGCAATTCGACAACTAAAATCGGTACCTCACCAACGATCGAAACTACAACCATCGACTCAATCGAAACTGCAACCACCGACGGTCTGCACGCAACACATGATCGCTACTACCACCTACAGTTTCGACAACCACCGTCTGCTGCCACACACGACGCAACAGGTCATCAACAATCTTAGGTTTGACTCTTAATCAACCTTGCCAATCTCATCTGGGAAACAAACAGTCGGTTTGTATGGTGAGGTGGCTTTTAGTGGAGGAAAGGGGAAAGAAAGAGAAGAAACGGAGAAGTGGTAGGAAATACCAAACCCTAAAAGAATTGCTCAGATACCATGTAAACAAGTTTGGCATAAGCCGAGAGGAAGATACAATTATTTTATTATATAGAAAAATAACGTGTACATAAATGAAAATTGATTGAACTGTAACCGAAACTGATTCAATGTGCAAGAGTACTTCTCACAACAAGTCTTGTCTTGTATTCAATTTGCAATTTAGCCAAGCCCACCCGACTCAAAACTTTCCAGGAATTTTAAGTCCAAAAGGTGGCAAATTAGCAGCCATGGACATAAGAAAACAGCAGGACTGGTGACAACCAAAAAGAAAACAACGTAGTCAAGGGAGTAAGACACAGTTCCACAGTTAATTGGTAGACGCCTGACTCTCATAACCATATGGGTTCTTGCTCGCCCAGTTCCACTGGTCTCTGCACATCTCATTGATGCCATATTTTGCCCTGCAAACACAAGGAATTCTGTCAGAAAAGTGAATGTTGTAGAGCATTACACTGTCATCTGTCGAAAGGTTCAACCGGGATAGAGCTGGCTATTAAAATATTTAGTTTTATATATGTATAAAGCATATAAAATGTATAAATATAAAGTTAAATTTACATCAGAAACAACCGTGGTCCAAAGCTTTACTAAATTGTTATCTATATAGCAACTTTCAAGTCTGTCCAATATTATGGACAACAGCAGTGGAAGGTAAGCAGTATGGGTGATGGGGACTAGATACCACTACTATGAACAAGATTTTAACTAATTTGTTACTGTCCAACATTGATCAGTACTGTGTACTTGAAGAAATAATTTTGCATAGTTTACGTTGCAGTGAGTTAAATACTTACTTCCAGTTCAACTCGTGCTCAGCTTTATCTGTTGAAGCATATACAACCTCAGCATCACCAGGTCGTCGACCAGCCATCACCAGAGGGATTTTCTACACAAGAAGGACAAAAGGTTATGATTACCCTGAACTAGGGGTAAGCAATGCATAATTAAATGCTAACCAACATATGTAAAGCAACTACTACGATAAGAATTATACCTTTCCAGATGCCTTCTCAAATGCAGCTACCATTTCCAAGACTGATGTACCCTTCCCTGTCCCCAGATTGTATACCTCACAGCCTGCAGTCCACATATTTCATTGAAATCAAGCCAGTGGAAAATCAGCATTAGATACAAAGCAAGCAGAGTAGATAATTAATTCAATATATATTAAAAAGAAAAAGAAAAAGAAAGAAAAAGAAACGTTGTCAAGGTAACAAATTACTTTGTGAACCGTAATTCAACAAACATAAACAGCAGAAAGGATTCAGTATTTGAGGCAGGGAACATTGGTTTCAAATGACTAAGTAATAAATTACAACTGTACACAGTTTCAAACGAGTAAAAATATATTACAGCTGTCTCTATCGTGATGTTCAAAATAGCAAACTTATGGGGTACGGAATGGGAAATGAAGTATTTAAGTTCAAAACTAGAAATTACGAAGCCATAAGAATATTTGGAAAAAAGGTTAATGCATCTGATAAAAACCCTTGTGCTATCTCAACCCACTCACACAAATCATCAAATCATTCCGCCATGTATGCTATTAACTTCCCAATGTCAAAACTTTAGATCAGACAATATATATACACTTAACAGGCCCATACAAGTAAAATGGGAAAAGGCTGATATAAAGCCTACATCATGTAGAACAATCTCACATATCTTCAGATAAAAATCAAAATAAGCCAGTCTAGTAACACAATGACGTAATAAGAAAAAAAGACACTTGAGTGAGATCAGGATTCACAGTAAGATATTTTCTAGTTAGAGTAAGATGAGTTGAGTTATAGCAAGATGTTTTTTAGTGTACTTCGTGAACATAAGAAATTCTTTGCACAAATGGAGAAGACAAACTGAATCAGCTTGTAAATGATGATGTAATAAGAAAAAGGAACACTTGAGACGTGTCAAAGACGTGTGAAAAATCATTATCTAGGATGCAATTGTACCACAAAATCCTGTTTGACTGTGACTTTAATTACAGTAATCACCTGCATCACGATTCCTTCATCTCCTAGTAAAAACCTCAAGCCCAGAGATGTTCACTCAGATTACTGCTCAGATTTGAAGTAAACAATTTTATTGAGAGAATTACGGGCAGGAGCTGGTTCTCGAAACTTGAATCAGGAAATGAACTTGTTTGAAGTACACAATGTAGTAGGCATTACAACTAAACTGAAACAAGTCTGGCATTGGATTTTGAATGTGCAAATTCCTTTGACAAACCCCTTACACATGCTTTCCTCAATTTCCCATCCTTAAACCAAAAAAAAGGGGTTTGGAATCCTTCCCCTATTTATTTTATGCATTTCGATCTCTATTTGGACCACTTCAAACAAAATGAGAAAAAAGGGTCAATCAATAGCATAACTCCCCAGCAACAATCCCCAATGCCATACACAAGTGTTAAAGAACAATTATATGTCTATAAATAAAAGGTACTCAACAAAAAGTTTATCAACTCATGTAGAGAGGTCATAAAAGTAAATTCAATATCACAGAAGATTGTTGAGCAGAAATGGCTTATGAAATAAGAGGTAAAGAAGACCTCTACATTCTCTAAGCCCATACCTATTGAAGGATCAGATAGCTTGCTCAAAGCAGCAATATGGCCATCTGCTAAATCCACAACATGGATATAATCACGTACCTGAAAACATGAAAACCATTAATAAATATTGGTGCATCAAGAACAAGAAAGCTAACTGCGTTTTTAAGTCCAATCCTTTTGGCCTCCTTTGTCACACTCCAAAAGGAGTCCAAGATGATCTTAGGCTCAAAAGTCTAAACACAACCTATCCTGAAATACGGATGGATTTTATAAAGTAAACCAGATAACAGTAGCTTACTTTACATTATATGGGATGTTTGTTTCCCATTTTTGTAAAAATGAGAATGAAAAATATAGTCGCTATAAGTCCTATATAAGAAATATAAATTCAAATTTGATGATTTGATGTGATAAATAACGGTCATATTTTTCATTTTAATGGGGAAAAAATGGGAAACAAACATGACATAATATTATTTTCTTTTCTTTTTTGTTTTTTTTTTTTGTTTTTTGGGCCCAAATAGAGAATAATGGAGGTAGGTGGAAGCAGCAAACTATACTTACTATGAACCAAAAGATTGAGAATAGTTGAACTCGGGCACAGGCACATACAGGATATACTAAATTACATGTTTACCAAATGAAGAAAAATGGGCAGCAATTGAATGCCAATAACAATGACCAAACAGAAAAATAATCAACTACAAATATGGTCACCATCCAATGCTGACCAAAATAGCTTACCCCTGTGCCATCTTTAGTTGCATAGTCAGATCCAAAAACTGTCAGAGCAGGTCTCCTGCCAACAGCTACTTGTTGCACAAATGGCATGAGATTATTTGGAATTCCACGTGGATCTTCACCAATATAGCCACTAGGATGTGCACCAACTGGATTGAAGTACCTCAACAATATGATTTTCCATTCAGAGTCGGAGCTATACATATCGCGACATATTTCTTCAATGAAAAGCTGGAAAAATCCATATCGTTAGGTGAACTCCCATAAGAGAAATTTGATAACACCTAACACGAGGGAACCAGAGGAAAGAAAAAGAGGAACATACACACAGAGGCAGGAGGTTATAAATGTCACTAGTGTAGGCTCTGTTAGGGGGACTAAGCCCTAATCCTAATCCCGGAGGAAATAATGAACGAAACATAAAACAAAAATGCAGGTTTACCCCCAATATGAAAGCTATGTCCACTTGCCACTATAGATTTTCACTATAATGAAGAAGGAGAATTACAAGGTTTTCCTCACTCTCTCTGCCCACCTCTCTATTTTTTCTCTTACATGTAGAGAACATCTCAAATTCCTATTCATAATCTAGGAAACTATGGCAATCTAATACAAGAATATGAATTTAAATATATCCTTATAGCAGGTCAACCCATGGTCGAGCAGATAAGAGATCAGTATAATTAAGCTACACACATACCATTGGGCCCTTTATGTGTTCCCATTTCATAATTTTAAGAGAAAGAATAAATAAAAAAATATACACCTGTTTCTTACTAAAATACATGCTAACATCATCTGTCTCTTCAGATTAGCTGCATTCTGAAGCATGAATGAAAAATTGACTCTAAGAATACCTTTGTTCGTCCATAGGGATTCATAGCACTTGTGGGAAATTCCTCTGTGCAAGGTACAACTTTTGGCCAACCATAAACAGTAGCTGATGATGAAAATACAAGCTGCAATGTTCACAATAACCGAGATCAGAGAAGAACAGAAAATGTAATTGAAAATATATTATGAGAGACAGCAAAGGGGGAAGATCAGTACTTTTTTACATCCATGTGCAGCCATAACTTCTAGAAGAACAATTGTTCCAATGAGGTTATTATTATAATACAGCAAAGGTTTCTGGACACTTTCTCCAACAGCTTTTAAACCGGCAAAATGAATAACAGCATCAAACCTTTATTGAATGTGAAATTGACAAGAAGAAAATGTCAGAGTGGTGACGGAGGGTCCGATATGAACAAAAATCATTCACCAATAATTATTAAATACCCCGTGTATGGAAAAGGCATTCTTTTCCATCCTAATACTGATATCATATCCAATCACTGTCGAGTGCAAAAGTCGGCTGTGAATAAATTTCTAGGTTTGAAAATTGGAATTCTCGAAGATAGTAGAAAACAAAAATTGTCCCGAAATAAATCAAAGAAAATACATGGACATGCACCTAATTTTAATTTAGGATATCAGTGAAGAAAACCCGTTTCTCATATTACAGGAAGGGAAGAAAATCTGCAAAAACAGGTACGGGAAAACTTTAGAATTTTGAAGACCTTTTTGACTAGATGTTAAAGAAAGACTGAAGAAAATAAGTTTTATTTTACCAGTCCTTTCCTCAATAATATCCATGTTTCAAACGAACTGACTGGACATATCAATCCAGAAATCTTTCTTACTCAAATCTTCAATGACCAGTTTTTGAGGGTTAAAATGAATAATCCACAGAACACCAGTCACTAGTCAGACTTACTTTTGAGAAGCAAAAAGCTTTTCAAGCGCGGGCTTATCACGAAGATCCATCTGCAATCACACCCAAAAAATCATATACACAAAACTTGGAAATCATCACAATCAACATTAATTTACAATGAGATAAAGAAAGGCATAATTTCGAGCAGGAATACAGATCAAAAGCAAATAAATTAATACAAGATCCTTCAATTCCCACTTTTTTCTATCAAACTCTACATACACTTCTTAAAAATCAAACCTTTAGTTAAAAAACAACTCGACAGATCAATTATCAACAAAACTAGGGAAGGAAAGGGATAAAAAAAAGTAACGGACACGGATCAAACAACTATCAACCCTAAAGAACACCCAATGTTTGCACGAATCGCATCATCCCAAAATTAACCCATCAATTACACCAGTAAAAAATCAAATTTTACACCAAAAATAAAAATCCCCAAAAAACTTTTTCCAACAAATTAAAGCGGCAATTAACCAAAAAAAAAAAAAAACACCTGGTGAAAGGTGAGGTTGGCGCCATATTCACCGGCGAGTTCCCGGACTCTCTGGACGGCAATATCGGAAGAATTGTCCAAATTGTCAACCAACACAGCCTTATACCCGCCTAGCAGCAATTGCAGCACTGTATGACTCCCAATGTACCCTGCTCCACCGGTTACCAGTATACTGCCCGACATCGTTTCAATCAAATTCTTGCACACAAGAAACTATTGCAACCGTAGAAATTGAGGAGAAGAGCCTTGACCACTGACTAGGATCAGACTATATATATACACAGCGTGGTATTATACGCAATTCTTTTGCCGTTTTTTTTAATCGCTGTTGAATTTACGGGGTTGGGGTCGTGGGTGGAATTTTTCCCAAATTTTTTTTATGAAATGTAACCACGTGATCTAGGCATTTGTCGTCTTGAGTTGCGTGGGCCACCCAATGAGGTGGCGCCTCAACATTAGACAGGCACACCACGTAGATGATGCTTCCACCCTACTCGACATTTACTCCCTTTCATCGAATCACACAGTTTTTTCAAACACACATTGGACTCCATTTTTTCAAAACTTATTTTTAACTACACATTTTTTCTGTAAAATAATTATATACGTAAATTCAAAACTTTTTTCTCATTTTTTAAATACAAATCCTCCAACAAAACCAATGCTGTTTGCCCAAAAAAAAAAAAAAAAAGGGTTCAGGCAAAATGTTAATTTGCTTTAATTTCATTGTTCAATCAATATTTTTGTTCAATTTAAACATTTTATCTATAATTGGTAACTATATTCATAATCCGATTAATTAAATTCGTGACTAGATTTACGTTTGTGCTATTAAAAAATAAATAAAAAACCAACCAAATCTCGCCTCATAAAAAATGAGCGTTCCATGGTGAAAATGACATGTATATTTACTATTGAATTCATTTCACTAGCCAAGTCCCAAATTGCATGGTCAAGTCAGGAACTTTATTAGTTTGGCAACGATTACAGACAAAATGATTAGATAGAAATGAAGATATAAGTTAGGTGATTGGACTAAAATAAATTGAAGTTAGGTGACCAACACGAAACATAGTGGCAAGTTGAGCGACCCTCATTGAAATGTTTCCTAAATTTAACATTGAAAAGTCTATTATAAATTTGTATATTAACATATCCATAACTACTTACCAATTAATAAATTTGAGCAAATCTCAAGATTAGTAGAGTAGATTTGGCTAGGCCTCACTTTTCGAGTCTTCAGTTTCAACAATCTAAGTAAACACGTCTGTTTAATTAGGATAGATTTATGATAATATATCGAAATTTAATTGGGACAATAACAAGATAAAGACAGTAAATTTGAACTCAAAATCATGTTCAATCTATAATGACAAAGTAGCGTGAATGATTATAAACAGCTTAAACACGAGCCAAACACATCTACTAGCAAACCTAAACAAAATTTTTATTTTGTTGTGTGTAAAATATATTTTAAAATTGGGAAATTTATAGCAGCAGTCTCTAACCTTTTTCATTTTTGCAGATTTTACCCTAAAATTCATTTTGTACCAACGGATATTCCTAACTTTTCATAAATATGCACATGAGGTCTATCTGGATGGAAACTGTCCAAAACACCATCAATTAACCGGAAAAATTAAGGAATCAACATCTAATAAAATTATCCAAGAAAGTATTATCATTCAATAAAATCGTTGCGATAGCAGATAGGTCAAGAAATTTTCTCCGTCAAGTGACGCTGTTTTGGACGGTTTCTATTCAGATAGACTTCAAGTGCATATTTAAGTAAGGTTAGAAACATTCACTGACACAAAATAAAGGTTAAAATAAAATCTGCAAAACACGAAAATTTTAGGGATCGTTGCTGCAATTTTCCCTTTAAATTTTTGTGAATATTTAAGTCCCCATTTGATCCCCATTATACAATAATTCATTTTTTTCATATTTATTTTCAATCATATATTTTATCAATAAAATAATTTGTACGTAGATTTAAAAAAATGTTCTTACTTTTTAACCATATATTTTTCAAGAAATCGTTTTAACATAAAAACAAGGCTTTATATTTTAAAAGGTTGATCTCTAACTTTAAGGGTCTACCATCGTCTCGCTCTTGAAGTATCGTAAGAGAGGTTAATCACAGAATGTGCTCCAATAGGTTAGGGAACAAGAGCTGCATATACACTGGTACCCACAAAGAGTTTCAATTCATGTTTAAGAAATAGAACTCTCACACTACGGTTACCAGTAAGTTTGAGTATCTTTCACTCTTGTCTTTTGCACAATTGGAATTTGTTTCGGGGGACAACAAGGCTTTATATTTTATTAATATTAGTGGTGGACCCGAGTGGACGGTGGCAGATCCCATCCACGCTGAAAAGCAGTCCAGTTAGGTTTTGTCCTTTTACCATTCTTTTCTTTTGTTATTCCTCTTTTTGTGTGTCCTTTGCATAGGATTCATTTTTATCCAATAATAAACGAATGAAAGGGATTTAGTAATTATTCCCATTTCCCAGTCTTTTTCCACTTTCACTTTAAAGATTTAAAAAGGTGCAATTTTGGCATGGAATATTCATCAGATATTTGCCTTTCATTTTCCTGTTCTGACTTTATTTCTTCTTGTCATTTTCCTTTTTGTTTTCGCCCATTCAACCCTGATTATTTTTCTATAAATATAAGAGTTGTTTACATAACAACGAGATCAATAAATTTTGAGAAGATTTTACTATTCTGCAATTATAATTCATTGCACTTCGTAATTTCATTAATATGAATCATTCTGTTGGTTCTACTATCATCCATTGATGTTTATGTCGAAGAGCCTAGCAAAGAGTTATATAATGAAATGTTCCACATGGAATTTTACGCCAAAATGGCTTTATTCCAAACAAACCAATAATTATGGTAAGGTTGTCGAATAAACATTATTTGGCCTGAGTGCTTCATCCGTGCCAAGCATTGTATTATTTTACACAAAGGGAGTTGAACCAAATTGAAAGAAAAATGTGACATGCTGGATTAATGCAAATTTGCTTTATTTTTAAATATAAAAATATGTTGGATACAACGAAGAACACAAAAAAGAAAAGCATATGTTAAAATTTAATGGTTATCATATCCAATCATGTCTAGTTCAACATATCGAACATGTCAATCTATATGTATTATAAATTTGGACAAAAAATTTGTTCAAATTTGATAAAATTTGTCACTTTTCTTCTTAGTCTCGTACCGAATAACTTTTTCAATTTAAATTTTAGGTAAGATTTCGTTGTTTAAATTCAATTATGCAAAATAAATATAGATAATTATTCGAACCATATTATTGTGATTGCTTAGAGTAACCGCAATTCTGGTATCGGGTGATTGCCATGGGGCCTGTTTCAGCTGAAATGCCATGATTAAAATTAACATAACAACAGCCACGTGAAAAGGCATCTACAGAATTTCCTTTTCGTCATTCGGTTTGATTAAAAAAAACGTCTCTGTTTGCTTGGAAAGTCAATAAAAAGTTAAAGTTTTAACTATGAAACTCAAAATTTTTATCAAATTTTCAATCACACTTTTATCAAAAACCATGCAAACAACCCTGATCATATTAATTTCGACCTGGTTCTTCCAACATTGTCCCTGTTTGACCCCCATTAATTTTCATTCAATTACATTTCATTTTTTCTCTCTTCTATTTTCAACTACACAATTTTTCATAAAACAATGTTACACGTAAATCGAAAACTTTTCATTCTTTTTTAACCACTTATTTTTCAAAAAAATACTATTCCAACCATTAATTTCTCCACAAAATGAGGACCAAACGGGGGCAATTATATTATGAGCAACAAATCATCAATTGTTGCTCTTGGGACGAAACTTTTAGCATCGATTCAAGAAAAACAAGACTCTCGTATGTATTGTGTTAAGTTGTGAAGTTCAAGAACTTGCGAACCGTTACTTTTCAAAAATATTTTTCCTCGATTGAGAAATGTTCGGTCACTTAAAAAAGTAAATTTCACTGACTTTTAAGCTTATTGACCATACATGCTTTTAGCGCCTGTTTAGGAGTGATTTTGAGAATTGATTTTTTGACCGTTAGGAGAAAAATGAGGTCTACCTGTGAGAGAAGAAGTCAAATATGACGGTTGAAATAATGAAATAACGGTCAAAAAATCAATTTTTTGGATGAAAAAATCGGGCCCAAACAGGCCCTTAGTCCAAAATGTATCTTAATTTCATTTCCCGCGACACAATCTTTTGACTAAACAAAAGCAATTACCAAGTATTGTAAACTTCACACTGCCGCTCTTTCCAGCTTAAACAAAAGCAATTACCAAGTATTGTAAACTTCATACAACACCGCCGTTATTTCCAGCTTGAAACTATCATATAATGGCTAATTGTCGATTAAATTCATGATCCGGTTCGTGTCATCACTTCCAATCTAGAATTGTATATAAACAGGGTACTGTACATATTATTGAATTATTTTACATCATTATCGTATCATTAATATCTTTAGCATCACTTCCCAACTTGCAATCAATCTTTAGTGCTGCTACCCAAGAATCAACCTGGAGAGACACGGGAATATTTTCGTTATGCCACTGAACATAATGACGAAAGCCAAAAGATCAAATTTCATATCAAATATGTACTATTATAAGAACTATGTGAAATGTCGAGTTAATGAAAGGAAAAAAAAGTTTAAAAAACTCGTTCATCATAATGCCTAGCTGGTAATGCACAACATAGGAACAAGTCAGAAACAACAATTATCAGATAAATACTCGTACTAGGATATCAATAATTTCAATATTGTAAGTACCTGTATCTTAGAAACATTTGAGCACTCGTATCGCAGCCCATGACGAGTTAGGATATAAAAGCAATATCGAGTTTCCTCATCTTCTCGTGTAAAGCATGGGAGAGAATCAACTTCAACTATATCAGACAGTAGGGTGGAGTCCTGGGGACTCAAATCTGCAAAATATGACGTCCAGTAAACTATTGAACACTCATTCTTCGTCCACTATGATCAAGATTAAGAGATGCATGGTCAATGCATGAAGTTTTATGTTAAAAGTATAAGCATTTAATTTAATGAAATCAACAAACCCCCCAGAAAATCTGAAGCACCAGATTCTACAAGAGGGGTAAAATAAAAGGTCTAAAATCAAGTAGTTATGGAAGAAACCTAAATAATGACATTCGATAAGAAACCCAGAAATTCAATCATTACCGGCGGATGATAAAAACAAATAGATATATGATCCCTGAAGAACTACAAAGCGCGGAAGCCAGTCATCAACTTCAGCGTCGTCGAGAGGAGGAGGTTCTCCAGGTAATGCTTCCCATCTCTACCAAATAGAATGGAGAACTTAAGTCAGACGAAACAGTGAAATCGAAACAATGTTAAAACGTGAAAGATGATTTGTACCGATCTTATGTAAAGATAGCTTGACAGACGAGCATATCTCAATATTTCGTCAAGATGTTCTAACCTGTATAAAAATGCAGTTCTCATCATTGGATTAGTAACTCACAACTTATAAAGTTGAAATAGAAAGCTCTTGAAGAAAATAATCAATATCAAAAAAAAAAAAAAAAAAAAAAAAAATAATCAATAAAAAAAAAAAAAAAAAAAAAAAAAGGGCATGTAGCATAAACATTGCAGAGCAACTACTTAGGTAAAAAAAAAAATTAGTTCCTCTTTGCTCTGAATCAAGAACTGGGGAGAAAATTTTCCTGTGCTGCAAATTTTTTAACGAATGGAAACCTAGTCTTGAAAAACAACTGCACTAATTCCTGATCAGCCACGAGGTTAAAGAAGGTATCTTATCATGGTTCAAAAAAGGAAGACTTAAAAGGTTCCTAGGAAGTAACCAAACCAGCCACATATGCCACTAATTGGGGACAACCCGATGATAGAGTCCTTATGAATTGCTAAAGTGGGGGTCCCATAACAAAGAGTATTTATAAGATGTATCAATATTCAAGGCATGTGTAGGGTAAAAAAGAGAGGATAAAATCCAAAGCCTTTTTTAGGTTCTCCTTCTT